AAAAAAAAAAACACAGCAACAGCACAGAAAACACAAAATCACGAATTTAACCTACGACGCGACCAGACCGAGGCAAGCCCCAGGCTTCGCCCTCAGCCTAATGTACAGTCCACTGAGAATCTGCAGGTTTCATTACATACTTACCCCCCCGGGGAGAGCGGACCTCCGCGTCCACACTTAACTTTCTGGTAATGAACCAGCAGATGAAGGGAGTTATGGAGATAACACTCTTGCCTGAAGAGGAAAACCTGAGATACTCACGGGGTAACCTATGCCCCTGACCCGTGCTGTAGCAGTAAGGTCAGGAGGAGGCAACCTCAAAGTGTCAGTTGGTCTCAATTGCATCAAGAACTACGGATAACCTGGTTTTTTACTATTACACAATCGATCACTTCTGAAAAGTTAAGATCCGTGAACGACACCCGATTGCTGCAATACAGTTCCTATACTCCTGACCTCCATAGTAAACTGGGATGTCGGTAGAAGGGAAACTCAGAATTGCTGGCTATAGTTGTCGGACCGGGTGTGTACCCCTTAGTAGACATAAACCAGATGCAAGTCGGTCAGTAGAAGTGAAGGACTGCAATAAGAGATCACGAGTACGACAAGTAATCTCATCACAAGAAACATAACTAATTATCATCCAGGCTGTCAACAATAGATTTGTTGGTGCTCAACTTATCAAACAGATAAGGAGCCCGGGGTAGAAGGTTGAAAGCCTGGGACAATGGCACTCACTACACAATGTCAGGAAGAGGGAAGATTGTTGACTCTCAGCTAACCCTGATCAGGACATTGAGTGTCGCCAGAATTTGCGCCTACAAATACTGACAACTACAACTCCCACAAGAACGAGAGACAGTGAAGATCCAGAATGTGAATCAACACAGGTGAAAGGAATTGTGGTTTCCACCTCTCTCATGGATCGAGGGTAGGGTAGGATGAGTTCAGATTTGGTTTCCCTTTTGTCCCTTCAAATGAAGGAAAAGGGAGCAATCATCTGAGCCTCATGCCCCTCTAATCCCTGATCCGGGTCAGGATCCTTATAACGAAGGATGCTGCCCGCGCAGTCCCCAGACATACATCATCACACGCAGCCTCAACTGAAACAGCTGCAGATTCACCTACCTGAGCAGATGAAGGTGCAGCACTAGGGGGAACTGCAGTCCCCAGGATCTGTTTCAGTTTTTTGACTGACTACCTGCGCCTGGCATGTAAGGGCAGTCCTTCAAGAAGTGCTGGCCCTCACACCTCAGGCAAACCCCTCTCTCCTTTCTTCTTCTCCAGACTCCCTCCTGGATCTTGAGGTCATGCCAGGGGAGTGTGGAGGGGTTGAGAGGTTCAGCTGGCATGTGGACGTCTCGAGGCAGGTTAGGGCGCTGGGAAGAGGAAGGCCGACGTCCCTTTTCCTTCCCCTTGGTAGTGGCTGAGGCTGTGTTGGTGGAGAACTTTTTCTGCGACTGCAGAGCTCCCAAAACAGCCTAAGTCACTATTGTTGCAACATCTGTCTCAACAGCAGATCCGGTCCCCCCTGAAGGCACATCAGGCTGGGAATCGGTATCTGATGCTGAGGCAGACCCCGCATGCGTAAAGGCTGCCTTTCCCCTTCTGTTGCCTCTAGGGAAGGCACCTTTCCTCCTGTCAGAGGATGGGGCCTGGACATGGAGCTTGGCCTCCATTTCCAGGGCTGCACGGCCAAAGGACCTCCAGTCCTTGTGCCCAGCGCTATAGAGTGCAACAACAAACTTCTCAGACGCTGCCCTGCAGAAGTTGGTCAGCCAATCATCAGGTGCCATGACCAACCCAGGGGTGGAGGTAAGCTGCTCGAATTCAGCAAACAAGGCCTGTAGGGTGCCGCTGTACCGCTGCTGTCCCAGGCGAACAATCAGCCTTGCCGGTCCGCTCCTTGTCTGCAAACCGGTCCTCCAGGGCCTTCAGAAGTCTGTCTACCCCCAACCCAAAGGCCCAGTCCTCCATGGACTGTTGCAGGCTGCTAGAAGTTGAGGTGGCCCACTTCAGTGCGGGCCCTTCTAGCAGTCCCAAAACAGTTGCCACCTTGGTCTGTTCTGCACAGACAAAGCCCCTCAAGTAGGCTCTGGTCCCAGCAGCCCAGTCCCCAACATCAGTCTTGGGGTCATCGCCCCTGAACTCGTTGGGAGCAGGGATCTTGGGACCTCTGTCTGCTGCCATCACAGCAGCATAGGCGGCCTTTGCTGATGCCTTTTGGGAAGGGGTAGATGACCGGGAAGAATGTGCAGATCCGGCATGGGATGGACGAGGTGAAAGAGGTCACGAGGGAGGAGGAGAGGATTTCGGCTGCAGCAGAGGGAGCTGGGGAGTGATCAGCTTGGTGGCTGCCAGCTGAGCAGACAAGCCCTGGATGGAGTCCAGGATCTTGGACTGATGAGCTGACAGCTCGTCAACCCGACGCTCCAACCGCACAAAACGGTCATCCCAGTTTGTGAACTGGGAGCTGGTGATCTTGTGCTCCAGCAGGACCATCTCAGGCATATGCTTGGTGATCTGGGCACAACGGTCATCGATGAGTGACCTCTCTAGCTGCTGCAACAGATACTCCCTTCTGGAGTGATCTGTTGCAGCCTCTAGCTCAGCAGCCTCCTGCCGTGCCAATTCAGCTACTCTGGCCAGTTGTAGCTTGAGCTGCTCTTCTGCCTCCTTCTTTTGCCTCCGAGTAGCAGTCAGAGGTGGAGGGGGGGTAATGGAGGTAGAAGGTTGTTCACCTTCTGCCTTCACCACCACCTCTACCTGTGGCTGCTGCTCATTTCCCTGATCCGACATTTTCCCAATTCAAATAAAACCCAAAAATAAAATAACAGCAGACAGAGTTGCAACGATACTCAGAATCCTGTAGACACACTGGAATCGCTGCAGCAACTCAACACTGGAGTAGGTGGGTGTACATGCAATCAACGGCTTGGGTTAGAAGGGTGTCTCTGGGGTCAGGTGTCAGACAGACTGTAAGTCCAGCAAAATCAACCACACGATTTCCTTTTACTGACCCTGGACCACACTGGAGTTATTACAATCACTCCACTACTTTTCCAAAGGCCCACTAGAATTTCCAGTGCCCGCTAGAAAACAAGAGTAGTCAGTGGGAATGATAGAAAGTGGTTAGTACCGACAGGAGAGATCAATCACAACACGCGATGCAGACAGATACCTAGTACCTTGACTCAAACTCGCTTTCAGACCCTGATGACTCTTGCGGCCATACCCTAGTTTTCACTGTATCCAGTGAAATACTCAAAATCCAAATCTGCGATTTGACAGTACTGACTGTTTTCAATTTGCGATTCACTGGGGATTGACAGAACTGAATTCTGACGGACAGAATTAGAGTTATGACTGACCCTAGATAGCACAGGCTAAAAATAGACTCAGCGCAAAACTATAATTCACAATATCACTACTTTTCCAATGCAGAATTCACAGTTTGAGCATCCCAGTAGAATCGCAATGCAATATAGCAGTCACCGAACCAATTTGGACCAGAAAGAGTCAACAGAGGATAAGATATGAGCAGAGAGAGGTAGGGGAGAGATGGCTATGACTGCCATGCAGTCTGCGATTTTCACATCCAGTCACTGACAGACAGATAGACCATTATCTTTCACTAATCTACTACTATCTGGATCGCAATACAGGTAGGTGCATGGAACGGACTCACTTTCTGCGAATCTTGCAGGAGATAATGAAGATCCGGCTATGGCAGATGAAACCCTTATCTCGCCAATTTCCTCCAGAGCTTCTTCCTGACAATCCCACGCACAGAACTGCTTCAAAATCGTTGATCCTCCTCAGATCCTGTAGCGCTGCACTCCCTTACTCCAGATACTCTGTATCTGGTCCTGTGGCACCCAACTCGCCAACACCAAAATAGCTCGCCACAGTGTCAGGTAGGCGCTGATGCTAAAAATAGCTCCAGATGGGGTTATTCCTCCTGGAGATTGATATACTTCATCAATCTCTATCAGCACCACCCAGGGATGATGCCGCTCAGGGTTCCCTGATGTCCTCAGGGGTAATTCGCCACTCTGGGGTAACTCGCTGTATCACCCTCACGGTTGGCTATGGCGAATTAGCCCTGTACTCGCCACTTCCTACCAAGCGCCCTGACAGTCTCAGTGCGCTTGTTCAGTGCAGCCACTGAACACTTGAATTCACCGCTGAAAGTCTTCTTCCCTGCTAACTCAGTACTGGGTAAGATGAATCGCCATGAAACTCTCGCCAGTATACCGCCAGGATGAAGAAGATGCCTCAATGCGCTCAACCCTCAGTGCTACAATTCCAATCTCGCTCCGATACCAACTGTTATGAACTTGGTTGTCTGACGAATTTTCTCGCCACTCACACACAGACAGTCTCACACATGTCCATACATGCATAAGAGAAGGGGAGAGAGGAGACAGAGTCCAAACTGCACACAGATGAAGATAAGCAGCGGAAGACAATCATGCACAACTGGAGAGAAGGCACACAGTGTTTCTCAGTCTCTGACACAACTCCCAACAACCAATCACAAGAAAGAACCTGCGAAGATCACAATTGAAAATGTCACTGATGATGATCCACTCACACACAATTATTGTAACAGAGTTGGTTCCAGTATCTCACCACCCTCAGAACTCACACCCCACTCTCTATCCTACACCCAGTTAGTAGCGCCACATCAGAACAGCCTAACAGAGGCCAGCGCCAACCACCCTGATGAAGAACAGGTCCTGCGATGAAGTCTTCAGTGCCGATGGACAACTCTTACGAAGGAACTGGCAGCTTTGGCTGCCACCACCCACGAACAACCATTGTAGAGCCTCGATACCGCCCGACCATACGCAGATACCCCCAGGGGTAGATGCGTTGAGGATGCCCCAGCTGTGGCAGACTCAGAGAGGGCCGGCTATGGCTGCTGTCACGGTGCATCTTAGGATGCCGCCTGCAGACCAACACCGCCACCAACTTGCTTGGCTTCTCCAACGCTGCTTCGCGAGAAATGAACTGCCAAAAGTCCTAAACCTACTCGGCCTGTCCTCTTTCTAGATTCTACCCTAGACCTACTGGACCGAAACTGCTCTAC